CCCAGGCACAGTGTCCCGCTCAGCTCCTGGCAACTGGTGACATCAGTGAGCTCGGCAGGAAGCCAGAAAGTCACAGGTTGCTAAGTGCTCTTAGCAACCTGGGACGCTGTGGCCACCCCCTGCCGCCCCCAAAACGTGCCTCAAGCTGCCTCATTATAAGGAAGGCCCTCGCAGGGGTACTCTCATAAACTTGGCAGTTTTCTATGTTTCCCGGCCTGTACTCTTTGGTTGAAGGCTATCCTCTGGTAATGCACTAAACTGAGAACAGCGCACTGAGGTGCCATTCATTGTGAAAGAACGCTTGCGAGCAGACCACAATGCACATGCATTTCAGCACACCACAGCGCACAGATGTAAACAATGAAAAAATGCTGCAGGTACAATAAAACCTGCGCTGTGGAGTGTTGATAGACCATTCAAAATGAACCAGCTGATGATTTTGAATAGTCTGGTGGTAATTGAAATGTGACCACCATGCATGTGACCCTGCAAGCAGTAAAGCATTGCAGACCAGTGGAAATTGCTGAATGGTTCCTAAGCATTTTTATTGCTAGGAATAAATGAAGTGCAGTCATTGAAAGTCCTATGTTGCAGCAACTTGTAGCTCAGTTGTGGTATTCACATACAGCAGCACTTTATGCACAAATCTGCTGAGATCATAAGGAGAGAGAGATTTGTAGCGGCTCCTAATATCTGTACAACGCCCTTCTGATGAAGCCCCGGTGTGGGAGGGGGTGAAACGTGTCATAGGCGTTCAGTGAAGGTTTCTCTCATGTAGCTGCTTCTGCTGAGGCCGCCTTGTGTTTTTGCCCAAAAATACCTGTCTACAAACAACTTGAATCTGATACATTATTAAGAAGTCCTTTGGAGTCTCGTGTTGAGGAGAAAAAAGAGAGAAAGAGACTGTACGGCTTCAGTGAAGGCTTACATCCAGAACGAACAACAAAAAAAGCAGAGATAAATTTATCTCCTGAACCCATTACAGTCACTATTGTTTCTTCGTTATATTTGACGGCTACTTTCCTTTGATTTTCCGAATCTCCGCCCAATGATTAAGGATACCAGGCCACTTTGTATCGCTCCAGCAGATTTAATTCGGCCTTGCCTTCCTTTTTGTTCCTTTTGATTTTACCTTCTTCAACCACCTTGGATTAAATAATCCCATGGAAGCAGCACAGGGGTTCAGTTAAGGCATTAATTCACAACACCCAGCAAGAAGCCGAGATAAATATTATATCTCCTGAACCTCCTGTCTCCGGTAGCCGGATTCAACCACAAAAATGGCAACACTATTCTTTGTCTTCAAAGCGGGACCCTAAAAAGGAGGATCCATCCTATCGTGAGTCAAATCCATTTTTTACATTTTGATGCTGACTTACAGAGCTCTTTCGTTTTTCTTGTTTTTCCATGAATATGGGTCATTTTTCCCATTTATGTGGAGACTTTTGAAACCAGAAAAAAACGCGAATAAAATATATATACTCGTGATACCAGTTGAAAATATTAAGGCTTTTACACGGCGTGCCTCTACACTGCTTTTCTATAGCATTTTTCCATAGCACTGTTAAGAATTACTAGCAGAATGCAGCTCTATGTATTTGTGTGTATTTTGATATAATTATGTTTGTCAGATATATGTTTTTTAGCATTTCTATAAATAAATATCTATTTTTAGAAATATTTTGTTATATACTTTGAAGGAATGGTGGGATCCCCTTCGTGGGGAAAATTGCATCTTTTACCATTATAAAGAAGTAGGGGACCCTCCTTCAATATTCTGTATACTCTACACTTTACCTTCCTTTCCCCATTTATATACCCATTGCTCCTAATATCTGCTACAATGTTGGGTGATATTGCCCTCAGAATAAAGCGGGCAGAAACTGGATATATCAGAGGAGAGCACAGAAAAGGGAATGAACCCCACACCATAATAATACTTTACCTTCACTGTTTTGATGTGGATAGCCATGAGGGACAAATGGACACTGGCAAGGCTGGTAATGCCACTTGCAAGTCACATTCGGATTTATTTCATAACCGTTCCCATTGTTAACATGTGTATTTTCAAAATCACAGTAAACAGCTAGATAAAAAGAGAATAAGACGGTCAGACTGTTATAAATCAACAGAGCTTAAAATAGAAATGAAGCCTACCATTAAAAAATATGTGCTAAAAAAGTCTCATAACATAGAGTTCAACTTCTCTGACTTTGAGACTAGGGCCCCGGTCTCCAAACTTTCCAGTGAGAGTTCCTCAATTTCAGGTGCTCTCATTGTACACATTGCTTAAAGTGACAAAGGCAAATTCCCCCCCCATGCTGGTGTACGGACTTACCTTAAATGATGCCTCTTTCCAATAGTTTTCAGGAGCCCCTCCAGCGCTGGTGCCGGTCTCTGATCCAGTTCTGACTCCTGTCTCTTCCTGTCACTTCCTGTCCCATAGAGTCTGTGCGGGTGCATGCTGCCTCTATCGACTTACCTTGTGTATCTCCTCGTCTCCCGGCCGAAGATCTCAACTGCGCATGTGCCCGCTTCATGATCTTTTGCGGCCTCCCGAAAATCTTCAGATCTTCGGACAGGAGCGCACGATGGAGACACAGGTAATTTTAAACCCCTTTGTTAACTTTTTAATATTTTTTTGCATATATCTACTGCTTGCTAGCAGTAGATATATGTAAAAAAAAAAGGAGGCTTTAATGATCCTTCAAGCCTGCCAGTGATGTCGACCTAATGCAGCTTACTGTTACGCCTACTATAGGGGTTCGGTGTGAAGCGCAACTGCGGAGGGGAGTTGTGGAAAGTAGGCTTCTCAGGCGTGAGTCTCAGGCCTCACTCCCAGTCTTAAGGGGGAGTTTGAGACTCTTGCATCACAGCCAGTGTAAATGAACGAAAATATCAGCAACGCTATTATCTCATAGCATCCCAGTAGGTAATATTGGCAAAGTAAATGGTGCAAATAGAATACCCTGGCTGTAGCCTGGAACGGAGGTGTTGGTAGGCAAACAAGTATTCCCAAGATTAAGTATCAATTTGTAAAGTCCAGCAGTAGCTCATGCATATGGAATAACTGACAGTCCCTATCAGGGCTCCAACTGGAGCGATACTTGCGGTTTTGTATCTTGTTGCAGCACAGCCACAGGGTGTGAGTCCGGGTGACGGGAGGTCCGGCAGGTAGAGAAGGGTTCCAAGGTTTCCCAGGGTTCAGGAGGCAGCAGGCGTTCAGACTGCAATCGTAGAACGCCATACTGCCTCAGCTGGGGCTTTAAATAGCCCCAGGATGTGGGAGGAACCTCCGGCCGTAACGAGCGACTTCCGCGTTCCAGCGTGGAACGCAAGCCGCTCGCCTCAATCAGGAAGTCGAGCGGCTTCCGGGTTCCACAGTGGAACACGGAGTGGCCATCACAGCAGCCAGCCTGCCCGAAGCGGCCCGGAGCGGAGATGGATCATCACAGTTACCTGTGATGGAGTGGCAACAATTCTGCACTGCTTCTGAATTCAGAGCATAGTGGCCACTCTCGCTTCTATTTTCGCACTACAGTGGGATGAGATGTTATGGGGGTATAGATATTAGCAATAGTAAGAACCAGAGGTCTTGCTGCACTCCTTACCAGAACATCCAAGAGACCCGTGCCGACGGGTGGGTGCTTGTAGTGAACACGGACGGCACCGTGAATAACATCAAATGAAGAAATAATGCAAGCACTTTCGGGGCCTCAGGGGGTCCTCTTCATCAGGCTCAGAAGCGCTTGCATTGAATGGCAATGTGTCATCAAATGGACTATTGCTTAATTACTACTATGGTGTGCTGGTGACATTATTTCTTAATTTGGAATGAATGTAATCACCTAAATGCCAATCAATGTATGTTAATGTTTTAAAATCTTTGTGTCTGCAGTTTCCAAATGTATGTACATGGGAACAAGGATATTGTGCACTTCCATACAGTGCACTGAAGATGACCAACAAGTCTGAACAGCTGTAAGCAAGTTGGATCTAAATGGATTTATGGATCTATAAACTTAAGTTGTATCTGTGTTGTAAATCAGCAGCTCTGGGTGTACAGCTGGCCCAGGAGCAAAAAGGAGTTATGTGCATACTCCACCCACCAGTTCCTATAATAAACTTTAAATGGTTATGGGACTCTCTGTGACATCTAATATTGTTAGATTTGACAGCTTTGGATACATTAATCTGATAACACACAGCACAAGGACATAAGGCAGACAGATGACTTACGACAGAAGTCTGGTTTTCTCCAGTCAATACAAACTCCAGCTGAAAGGCAAGCTGCAGCATAGGCAGCAATAGCTTCACACAGGCATTCACAGTCCCCTCCTGTGTCACATGCACAGGCATCATTTAGACAAGAATCGTGGTATTTTTTATAATTCACCTGCAAACCAAAAACAGCCATTTAGGAGGTTTATTAATAGAACAGTTTCCTAAACCCCAACTGATCATGGCTAAATGATAGCCTACAAAGCAGCTTCAGTGAAGTAATAATGTGTTAGCCCCAAAACTGATGCAGAAGGTGCTGGAACACAGGGTGAATGTGTTTCTGCTTCTCTCTGCTTCTTGCATCTCCAATCACATTCTAACTATGGGATCTGATTGGTGGCTGGCACAAATGTATTACTAGCATTTTTTTTAACGTGAAGATTTCAAGAAGGGTGTTCCAGCACCACCACTAAGTGTGTTCCAGAATTACTAGATCACAGACAAAAGGTAGTGGGTAGACAGGACCGGATTTCCCACAAGGCCAACCAAGTCCCAGCCTCGGGGCAGCAGGGAGTTTTGGGGCAGCAGGGGTGTGGAATTCCTATCTCCCGACGCCCGGAACATGCAGTTCCAGACGCCGGGTGGGTAGTTTTCTACATTTAGATCTGCTTTGGGCAAGCAGAGCCAAACGTACAGTGGGGAAGCTGTCGCTTGTTTTGTACAAGTGATCTTGGTGATGTCGCTGAGATCACCTGTATGCAGCCTGCAGGTCAGCATTGAGGAAACTGGCCTTGGGGCAGCAGAGAGAGTAAATCCGGGCCTGGGGGTAGACTGCTTCACTACTGCAATATTTGTAATAAGAAATGAACTACTAAGCAAATGTTTTCTGCATAAATCTTAGAGTTTCATTTAAAATTGGCATGGATTTTAGGGGCACATCTGCATAAAAACATATTTCCTTTTGGCAACTCTGGGATCTCTATGCTAACTAATTCTGAGTGGTGGCCAGTGCTTATCTCAGAGGAATTTTTCTTAAAATAAAAGAAACTTCTTTCACTCACAATGAAGAGGTGGAAAGGGACTAAATCTGCTCATATGTGAAAAGAAACATACAGCAGTATTTCTTACCAACTTATGGCACTGGGTAAAAGGATCTTGTTGAAGAATCTGGCAGCTCTTTTCAGCCCAGGGCTTCCGTTTTGGGTTTACCGAACATGCATCCACAGCAAATTCTACATCCATGCATGTTGGTCTGTCTTTCCATGAGTTGATGAACTCGAGTTGAGTGGCGGCCACATACTTGCTCCTAGTTTCAAAGTCATCCTTCATATTTCCATTGTTGTTGCCACAAAGCCCACAAACTGATTCCTGGAGGAGAAACATTATGTTAATATAAGATCACATAAAACTTGCAGATGGTTTCTGACTTTGGTTAAAAGCTCACCAGCAAAATAAAATTGTATAGGTCCACCATGAGATCACAATACCAGACATAAAATTGAACCCACAGTTTCTACAGCACTTTGCAAAATAAGGGGAGACAGTAGAGTTATAATACAGTTCAGACAAGAGGGTTAGGAGGGCCTTGTTTAAGAGAACTTAAGCTGGTCATACACCAGTAGAATTTGGCTAGAAAAAATATTCATTTTTGGAAGGTTTGTTCAATTTTCTAATAGTTAATAGAGGCAAACTGATGATCATTTTCGATCGTAGTAGTGAAAAAAATCAAGTCGCAGGATGTAATATTTTTCTTGATGTAGCAAAATTCTAACAATGAATACGGGGTTCATGTTCAGGAAACTCCATTTATTCCAAAATGTTCAAATCAAACGAAATTTCAGACATTCTTTACATTTTTGATGGCATTATGGAGTGTTCTGACTAGATTTTTTGAATGAATGTTAAAAAATCTACCAGTGTTCAGCCAGCTTTACAATCTAAAAGGGAATGGCAAGTGATACCTTCAACCAGAAGGTAAAATGTCAGTTATGTAGAGGCGGGATAGGCTTCAGGAACTTCCTAAAGGCAGACAGAATAGGAGATAGCCGTACAGGTTGGGGTAGGGAGTTTCAAAGGCTAGGCCCTAGAGAAGTTCTAGACACAAGCATGGAAGGAGTTCATAAGTAAGCTAGAAAGCAAGATGTTGGGAGGAGCGAAAATGATAGTTTGGGTGAAATGATGAGACAAGGCTGGTGAAGTAGCTGGGGGCAGTGTGGTGGATTGCTTTGCATATTGTTAGTATTTTGGATTTAAATTGTTGGGTGATTGGACGCAAGTGAATGGATTGGCAGACACTGAGCAGTTGGAAAAGTATATAACGTGTTTGGTTAGACCATTTCTGTCGTTATGATCATTATTATTTAACTGTATTTGAATGAACAGTAAAATACCTCCTTTAAAAACGTCACATAATAAAAAAACAATATTCAAAAACAGACAGAAAAATACTTCCAAAGGAAAAAGCTTAATGCAACATGGTACTAAAAATACTCTGTACTGTAAACTGAGGGAAAATTCAGACTGTGGGATGCACACATACAATTATTGTACATACCTTGCCAAGTTTCAGAATCTTTATAAATAAATTCATATTCTTGTTCCAGAGGAGTGAGATGTAGAATTTATTAGGAATGGTGATATCAAACATGATAAAAAGGGTGTTGTTGTGCACTTTAATATCCACATTTGGTGTATCTTGTGAGATTGAGTATTTTTCATCAAACAGCTTCAGTTCTGTGGTCTGTATAAAGGAAGAAAGTTAATTTATTCTTTCATGAAGCTGAAGAGATTTTTTTTGTTTCTGGCTGCATAAAAGTGGTGATCTCTGCATGAAATACATGATATTACCTTTAATGGCCAGAAGACTTTCTCCTGTGTGCTTGTCTGAAACTAATTATATTATGTCTGTAAGGCCTCAAATTAGGGATTATAAAAAAAATACCTTAGGAATTCTCTTTAGACAGATTGGCCATTGGCAATACTTTTATGATGAGCCTCAGGAGAGACTGCATTGTCATCACCTGTCCCAGATCCTGTATGTGGCATGCCACTCAGAGAATGAAATAATCTCTCTATTCTGAGAGATCACCCTAAATCATAGTTGTACTTATTTTGACTGAGCAATGAGCTGTCATGATTTTGCTACAGTTTGGAAAATGGCACATTTTATTTACAGTTATGGGAAAACCTGGGTGGAGTTAGGTGGCTCAAGGGGCTGCCAAAGCTGGCTTGTTTTTGAATCCAGACCTGCCATCCTGATCCTGGTTTTACGGCCAAGTAAATCATTGACCTGGAACAAGCATGTACATATCAGGTGCCCAACACGTGACAAGCATCTTCTTGTGTCAACTTAGTAGCAATAGAATAGAAGAAGCATGTACCTTCAAGAGCAGGTCAATAGTGGTCCCCATATTTCTATCTCAACAGGCTCTTTTTTAAAAATAAACCAGTTTTATTTTTCTAATGAGAGATAATGAAATAAAACTGGTCGCCCACTAATCTCTAAACAATACATAAATACATAGAACGCCGTTGCTGATCTCTTACTAAACATATTATGTTGGTCCTCTTCATAAGAGATTTACCCTGCACAAGTATTCCCTTCACTAAAAGTTTATTTTCCAGGAACATTATTGTAAAAGAGCAGTTTCAGGTAACAAGTGACATCACGTATTTTATTAAAAATATGTATCACTGTATATACAAAATTAATTTTAGGGACAAAAGTAAACGTTATTGATATAAATGTATTTAATTTTTGTGTTTCCCCTAAGTATTGCTATGATTATATGATAAATCATTTTGCTTTTAAAAGAAATTCAAAATTAGTAACTCTTAAAGCATAATTCTGTATGAGACATGTTTAGCAGTCCGCTTGATTCTGTTTCATGGATGAAATATTAACAACATGCAAATTTAAAATAAAATCTGTGATTTTACAGTTCTCACCCCAATTGTGATAGTGATGGTGCGTGAACAAGTGGCTCCAGTGGTACCGCAGATCACATTCTCTGTTACTATCTTAAATGAATCTTCAGATGTGTTCATTCCACATCCATCCTAAGCAAAACAAAAATAAATATATTGGTATTTGATATATGAGTGTATCAGTAGGATGCCTATAAATTTAAGAGAGGGATCTTGATTTTAAACCTACTGAAACCGCAATTAAAACACCCATACACCCTCCTCCTGCTTCTATTGGCTCTATTACTTCCATCCCCTTAGGTGGTATTAGTAGTTAGTCACATTCAACTGGACTTGTTTTGTGGTCTTGAAGCTGTTCCGCAGCTTCTTCACTTCCCTTCTCCTTGGCTCTCCTCTTCCATCCAGTTAATAGATACATGGCATGCTCTTCTCATGGTTCCCTAATACTATCACTGTGCATGCCTATCCCAGCTACAACAACTGAATCTCAGAACTACAATACCTTACAGACAAAACCATTCAATATTACACATTATAAAAAAATTGTGATTATGACAGAAAAACTCAATACGTGGTCCTTCACTCACTAAGGAAGGCAGTGCCCTTCGCTAACCATTGCAGTGACCATATCGGATAGATCAACTGACATGCTTATTTCTCTGGTCCTAAATATTATCAGAGTAGCACCCACTAAACCCATATTTCATATATTAAAATGATATCTTGCTTAGACTGTTCATCCATTGTAGGATTTTAAGTCATTTAAATCCAGCAATTTGAACAATATATTTAAAAATATAATGCAAGTTACTTGCTGGGATTTCCTTATTAGGAGCCTGTTTAGACATACAGTATTTCATATGCTGGTAATTAGGTTGTAATTCTGAGGTGTTTTGTAGAAGAACACTTCATATTGGAAATACGTAATGTAGTAGGCAAAAATGCTGAAGGAGCTAATGCAGATGGTAAAGCAAGGAACTTGACTTTAGAGTAAGGCCGAGTTTATATGGGTTTTGGATAAAACGGCTTTGCCATGCTTTGCATTGTGATACTGTCGCTGTCCCAGGGGAGAGAGAGACCCATCAGGAAGAAGCCATTGAAGTGAATACCCAACAAGACTCAAATGCTACCTGCAATGTTTGGGTTGGTGCAATGCCTGAGGAACACAGAACTGAGGGGCTTACTACACCATTTACACATGGTGGTTTCAGGCATTATGAACTCTTGCCAAGCCTTTTAGTCATCATTGTGAATAGGGCCTTCATTTATTTGGAGCATAAGTTTGCTTTGATAAATATTCCCTCTTGTGTATTATAATGCTTTTGGATGCCAAAACCATAGCCTGACTTTTTGTCTGGGGCATTAAGAAGGCTTTTGTCAGTATATACTTCAATGCAACGACTTACCGTCACCAGAGTATATTGGCACTCCCCATCAAACAAATACTGTTGTCCATCAAAAGTTTTGATGTGGCTCTCTCCATACATCATACAGGTTGAGGCACAGCGTGGGTTCTCTTTGCACTGCCAATGGCCTCCACTGCAGGTGCTGCAAGAGAAATACAAAAAAAAATGTACAATGATGCATACAATGCCATGACAGTCATATTTCCAATATAGCAGAACAGGCATCATAGCGTACACATGAAAAGACCAGCGGGAGCTGGATTTGATTTTAATTTGTTTTCTGAAAAGTACCTAAATTATTAATGTTTCTCTTACCAGCTCTGACATTCTCCATGCATGGACTCTCCAGTCTTGTATATGATACCTCCATATTCGCAGGAACATTCACTTTCGGGCACACAGCTACCATCGTGGTCCTCATACGTGCCAGCAGGGCAGACACATCCAGCCTCACACTTAGTTGGTGCCTGTAAATGCAAGCGTAATTTCAAAATAGTTTCAAAGTATTGATTAATCATTGATCTTGAATCTAGTTATATGGAAAAGTGCAAGTTTATTTTTATATGACCATCACAGAAAGTTAAAGCTGATGTTTTATCTGCTTATATTTTAACTTATCTGCCTCCCTATCAAGATGCTAATTAAATGTTTAAATAAAATCTTTCTTTCTGTTTCATTACGTATCTTATTTTAGACCCAGTGATGTCATCACACGGACTCTGTAATACTCAATACATTGTAGGCAGATAATTGCTGGTAGACATAGCTTCCTGAAAACATCCTAGCACCCTGCCTCCCTACCCTACCTTGCTCTTTGATGTAAGCAATGCGTTAGCTCTTGGGAGGAGTTATGCAAATATCCAAATGCCTTGCTGGAAGGAGCAATCATGAATTTGCTGATCCTGTACATCCAGATATTATAAGCCATTCTGACTTATTACTCCAGACTAATGCTGTATTTTACCTCACTACACTCTTCACCATTTCCCCCTAGATTTTCCCATGGAAAAAGAAGCACCCAGAACATAAAAAAAGTTGCAGTCTCTGTCGCTTTCTCATACCACCTACTGGTGCCATAGTTCTACCAGTAGGTGGAGGGAAGTGTATTGGTCACCTAGAGAGCCACCAACTGGAGAATAGAAAGATAAATGCTAGTCTAGCTCAGGCAATAGTTTGTTAAATAATTTGTGAATTGTCCGCACACTGTGTGGAACTTGTTTGTGACAAAATATTTAGTTGCAAAGACCATAATGTCATGCTAACTGACCACAAAGTTTTATCTCTGTTATGCATCTTTTTAAAAATGTTCTTCCAACATATTCATGTTTGCGACTCACTGCACATGTTTTGCCACATTTCGCTTAATTCCTCAACTGTGCAGTAATTACGTCCAGCATTTGTGACATTCAAAACAGTCCAAACTTTCACACATTCTAGAAGCCCTCATAAACACTTCTTAAAGTATCACAAAGATAATTCACCTTAATTCCCTGAAGTCAGCTTAGCACTTCAGGGCTATTTAGCTGCTATTTAGTAGGTTCCCTGCAAGCTTGCAACAATTTAGAGACAATTTAGAGACCGGGACAATTTGGAGACAATTCTCCTTATGAAGGTATTTAGGAATGAAACGTAAACTAGGATAATAAATCTGTAACTGATAATGTACAAAAAATTAATAAATTCCCCCGCTGTGTATTCATTTGACTCAAATATGCTTGTCTTTGAAAAGAGTTTGCCTTTTAACACTGTCCACAGACCAGATGATTTCTTTCTATTATTAATAGCTGTTATGTGCTTCAGACTCCATATATAACATTCAAAGTGTATGTCAACTTATAATCGTTTATGGGAACTGGTCTGAAGCACACAGTACCAGAGCGTTTTGTAAAATAAAGCAGATTCGTGGGCAGGGTTGAAAGCTGATGGTCTACATAATGTAGTGAACTGGAGTTATATTGACTGCTGTTTCATCCAAATGAAATACATTTTATGTATACAAATATGGGGTTTGGTATATGACACAGGTATATGGGAGGACAGACAATGTAAGGGCATGTATGGGTAGACACTAGAGCTACAATATGTGAATTTAATATTAAAAGAGGACTAAAGAGCCAAAAATGTACTATATGATGGGATGAGCAGATATTTAGTGCTGTACTAAATTATATTGTTGTTGGCAATGGCGCAATTTTGATTGGAAGTAGCATACTATGGAGAGTGTCCAGCCTAGAGCACTTCAAGGGTCATAAATGGCCCTACTGGTGAATGTATTCTAAAGGGAGCTAAAGACATTTAGGAAGGATTGGGGAATGTTCCAATGTATTAAAGGAGATTTATGAGGTGAGTGATTTTCACCCAGCCTCATAATCTGAGCCAACCTGTGACAATTAAACTGTCACAGGTCGGCTCAGTAGATCGGGAAGTAAGCGAACACATACCGTCGCTCCCTCACTTCTCGATCTATCCCTGCAGAGAGCCGTGACTGTCACTCACGGCTCCCTGCAGGGATTCCCCCCCTCCCCTGTCCGATCCTCCAGCGATGACTGGCAAAACGGATGGGGGAGGGGGCGGGCACAGCTGGCTCTGCCTCTGGATAGGCAGAGCCAGCTGTCAATCCTGCAGCTGGGTGGATCCAGACAGTATAGCCGTCCCGGCTGCGGCATCTCAGTGTACCGCAAGCTGTAGCTCGCGGTGTACTGAGCTTTGGGTCACGGGGGAACCCTAGTTTGTGTTCTCTCGTAACCCTTAGGAGAACTATGGGGAAAAGCCCTGACCCCATAGTTCTCCGTAAAGGTGTTCAACAATGCGTCATGGTACAGTCGGCTTGAAAATTTGAAAAGAGTTAGTGGGACAGAATTTTCCAAGTTATTGTTTTACCTAAACCATTCTTTGGCACTCGGATTGTGCATATTTAAACAATAGAGCCAGTGAGGTTGAAGTTCATAAGTCACTACTTCTTAAACAGCTGACACACAATTGCACTGTAGCAATTTGTTTCTAACATCTATTGTTTCTCACCAATCACAGATCTGTCCATGTAGCCCTTCTAATAAGTCTATGGTTTATAGATTCAATAGTTTCTTAAAATGTAAGATATACTCAAAAACAATTGGACGAAGCTTACACAACGAATGCCAGTAGCCAGAAGCTGACACGTAGGGGCACAAGCTGCTCCATATTTATCAGATAAGGATCCACATGTTCTCATGACTTTTGGGGCCTCACAGGTTTCTTAACAAGATAGAAATAAGTAGATGAGACACATGAAAGTCATCATAACAACATGACAGCACCATTATTAAAGGACAAGAAATCAATACCAGCAAAGTCGAGTGCTTTTCCAATGCAGTTAAGTCTTCCTCTGATGCAGTAACTGAAAAATAAACATAGTTCACCAATATCAGTAAAATACAACTTTAGAATAGCAGCTAAAAATCCATGTTTAATATAGGTGCTACCAATTTTTACATGAACATGCCTTTTGAGGTATTGGGGGATTACCCTGCCAGGTCTTGACTGCTGTGTGGTAACCCCTGTTGGGTAAGTCTCAACCCACCCCTGATCTTGCCATAATAATAACAAAGGCTCTGCTGTAAGCTGCACTGTTTCCTCTCTCTGTAGCATTTTCTCAGTTTATGTGTTTCTGTATCCACTGGGACTTTTGGGACACCATAATGCAGTTGTCTTCCATGATAATTCACTATAGGAATACATGGAGAATAAACTACAGAAAGAGAACTGTAAAACCCTGGCTGTCACTCCCAGACATGCAAGAAATGATAGAAGATCTGCCTGACAACAAATGGAGATCCATTAAATATTACACTATGAGCGCATTTTATTATTTTTTGGCGTTCTATTATTGGCAAAAAGTGTTCCGTGGGAGGTGAAATACCTGACGGAGAAATGCATGTAGATGAATAACCCGGTTACAGAGAATTATATGTTTAAACATCGAAGGATCATTACATCTTGCTATCTATGACCATCTTATGATAACAGGGTCATGGAAATCTGGTGAGTGTGGCAGTGTGTGGATCACGTGGGAATAGAGCACCGTTTGGATGGTGGAGCACATTATTTTCTGAATGGATGAATTTGGGATTCATTCACTTTTGGACTATGGACTTTTGTGGCACGTCCATAATGGACTGTATAGGTTATAACACTTTAAATTGTGGATTATAGTGAGCACTTTTCACAATCTGTTTAGATGAGTATTACATCACCATTTGTTGTTATATATGCACTTAGTTAAAACATTGCATTTTAAAAAGGTTTTTTGGTATCATTCTTTGATATTGTTAGCGCAGTGCACTTTATTATTATATATACTGTTTAGTCTTTGAGGTAATTGAGGAATAGTAGGACCCTTTTTAGACTAACAGATGGCCCCTTTGGGGGGCTCCAGTGCTTCAACAAAAGTTTTTAAAAGTAGTCATGTCTATTCTATTTTCATTATACGTCTGGCAAACACTGATCTCCATTTTAAGGGATGTATACAGTCTTAATAGCAAGTGCCCTGTCAAAGCTGTCTGCCCTTGATCTGTATTTTGAAAGATGATGTCTTGATATCACTTACCAAGTAAGTCCATTGACAACTGTTTGCTGGTTAGGCCTAATGACGGTATTCTCATTCACATAGCAAGGACATTGTGATTTTGAGACACATCTGTGTTTATCATCTAAATAAAATCCCAAAGGACAGTTGCAACCTTCAATTGGGATGTCATTTGGGTAACACTCCAGCTGTACATTAGAGAGAGACAGGCAGGTCCGTCCACATGAGGTGGTGTCATCACTGTATATCTGGTTACCACTGCAAGTAATAGCTGCAGAGAGAGGTTTAAAAAAATTAAAGGTCATGTACAGCTTGTTCTTATATCATAAGTTTACTAAGCTAATCAACATTTGTTTACAGACCACAATGCCTCAAGCTCAAAGGACAAATATGCAGCTAAATAATTAGAGTAGTGACAACTCTCTCTCTCTCTCTCTCTCTCTCATTTACCTCTTTGCTTTGGATATATCTATAGAGAGGGAGGGTTGCTTTACCAAAGTCAAAAAGGCTATTCACTTTGCAAGAGAATTGCACTTTGCAGGGAACGCTTCCCTGAGTGCAAATTCCCTTGCAAAGTGAACAGCCTTTTTGCCTTTGATAAATCAAACCCAGAAAGTCTAAAATTAAAACGTTGATGATTTGTGCGGTTTTCACAAAAAACATAATTTTTTAAAATAAACCAGCGTAATTGGTTCTCCCAAATAGTAATTGGTAAAATTAAGAGTTTATATAAACAGTAAAAAAAAATACGCTTTGATTAGAAACTGTATAAATGTAATGAAATAAAAAAAGTAATAATTAGCTCACCCAAAACCATTCTAGGCTTTATCTTTAAACTCACACTGCATGCAGAAAATGTTAAAGGCACACATTAATACTGTATGGATCACATTTCTGTTTAGACACTAGATGGCACAGATGCATTGCGTATGATGCATTGCGTATAAGACGTCTCCTCAGTTTAGTAAGAAATACATCAGTGGATAAACAGGTTTTTAGGCACCTTATGAGTCACACATTTTTCAGACACGGTGTCAGATTTAAGGCATAAATAATAAACTATGAAACGGATGTATTTCTCATTCAATGTGTATTAAAGCTGTGTTCTGAAAATCTGTGCCTGGGCAAAAGAACTATCCTTTGAACAGCATAAAGTTAAAATAAGATTCAAAATGACATATGTGATTTGTCACTATATATTATAAACATAAACTATTAGGGTAGACATCTTTATTAAAACTTGGAAGCTTTATCTTATAAAACCATCTTTATAAATTCAAAGAAGAACTCCAAGCAGATACAATCACAGAAGGTATTTTTTTTTGTGTGCACACTGTAAATCCTTTCTTCTAGTAGTTAATTGGGGGAACACAGGAAGTCAGTCCTTAAATCATGGACATAGCTGTTGTCTCCATGAGCTTGGACACTAAGAAAACAAAGGCTCAGCCTACGCTAGTGGCTACACCTCGACATGTACTGCACAAGCTCAGGAGTAGAAAACAGTAAACAAATTGTAGTAACAAAAGGTAACCTTCCTATGAATATAACTGTAGTAACAGGAAAAACACTACAATAGATAACCATATGGAGGAAGGGAGCTGTGATAAACTACTCAAGAAAATAATTTTGTGGTCAGTACAAAAAAATCCCTTATGGGTGCCTGACAGGATCATGTTGTTGCCTGTAGGACCTTAGGTTAAAAAGTAGCATCTGCTGATTTTGCCACATCCACACAGTAAAAGAGACTTTGCTTTACATTTGGGGGTATAGTTACTAGAGAAGGCTGAGCCTTTGCTTTCTTTGTGTTCAACCTCCTAGAGATGGCAGCTATACCTATCAATGGAAGACATCCTGTGTCCTTCAAATTCTTGCAGAAAAGAACCTTTAGTCATCTAATGTAATAGTTAAAAAATACATTCATTTTTAAATGCCACTAATATAACAAATTAAAAGTATGTTTAATAATGTCTAATATTTCCCTGTATGCAATAAAATGTGAGTACGGAAGAGCCACTTAGTAGAATTGTGTAGAATTTAGACAGACTGACAGAAAGGGGAGAGCTCAATAGTATAGTGATGCCCATTCATAGGCTCATGAGAATACACAAAGCAGGTAGGCATACTGCAATCTACAAAGTTGCCTTTCATGATGGTGGTGTCACACCAAGTCTGTATAGCATTGTGAAAAACTGAACAGTAATAGAAATATTTTAAATTAAAATGTTTACTTTTCACCATTGTTCCACTGCACTGTAACAGTACATCTACTAGTATATCTAATCTACATGATGGTAGTCTAAGACTGAGAATGTTTCTGTTGGGTCTACGTATAAACAATTCAGCTCTGTATAGATTTTGCTCTGATATTTTTAGCATTGGGGAATTTTAGTGCATTTTGACAATGTGCTGTTTTTTTAATATGAAATTCACACTGTGTATGGCATTATTTACTTACTGCAGTTAGTGGCAGTTCGCCAGTTCTTCACCTGAACTCCCTTTCCTGCACAGGCCCGAGCATAAGAGCCCAATGCAGAGCAGATTAAATTAATTGTCTCCTGATAGTTACACGCTTCATAGACACATCTCTGAAATGCAAAACACAAGCAATAATACCTGAGTTACATAGACAGTACCATCATTGCATATTGTAGAGTACATATGGCTTGTGGTAGGACTTAGCAAGTAAAAGAGAGAAGGTCGAGGTCAGTATGAAACTCATGTTTACATAGTTTTTACTGCCATAGAATAGCATCAGAAGTTCTGTTGTTGGACTGGAGGAAATCTCCTCTAATCTAAGGAAAGGGTGCTGGTTGCTGGGTGGAGAAGGTCATTCTGTGGAGGCAGTCAGAGAAATAACACCTTTCTCTGTGTGCTGTGATCCCTCACTGGAGTACACCATTTCAGGCGAAAACAGGCCTAGGACCGTGTTACCCCAGGGATTCCCTAGGCAGCTGAAAAAGACTCTCCTTGTTTGGGGATTTTATATTCTGTTTCTGTGTTTCCATAGACATCAGTGAGGGTCCAATCAAATCAAACTGTTGTGGGTGTTGAGACAACACTTACACATTAACGTGCATTATGTCAAGGACGTCCATTCATTTTAAATGGACTACCAGTGCACCAAAATGCACATTTAATGAACATGAAGCATTTAAAAAAAACACCACAACACAACCCACAAATGCTTTACATCTGGCATTGTGGTGAGCTAAAACACATTGTGAATGTAACCCCCATCGGCCTGCATTGTGTTTTATGTTTTACAGTTTTCTGCTGTAGCATGTTATAAAATGTTTTACTTACTGCAATGCACGCATCTGAATAGGGCCTAAAAGTTCTTTACAATTACATTAGGTATGTGTTCTTTATCTCCAGTAGTGCTAACAAAGAATCTGTGCTCTGGAAACTGAAGCGGATGTTGGTTGGGTTATGGAATTTGGGCCAAAAGCAAGGTGTACAGAAGCCATATACTGTAAATGTGGCTTCAAATAGAGAGGAAAATATGCCTCTCTGGTCTGTGACCTATGCAAGGAGTTAGAATGTAGTGGCCTCCAAATGATAGAGGCTTCCTCAAATTTTCAGTTAGACAAGTGTGTGAACGCTGGCCTGTGTCTGAAAAGGAGTGCATAAAGCTGAGTCTCTAGTACCTTTGCTCAAAGAGCACTGTGAGTGCTGCAGAACATAGATAACTATGTGGTCCTGAAGCTCCAGGTGGTGTGAGAAATAGGGTAGGCTCAGGCACTGTAGTGAATGTGTAATTTACAGTATGTGCCCTTCACCTCACGAATGACCCTCTATGTTCAACATGAAAATATGTCACTCTCCAGGAAAGGGGCCTTACAAATACATAAGAGGAGTTTCAGAGACATAACCCACCCAACTAGAACTGATTGAAAAACACAGTTCCATACTGTTCCTCTACATACAAGAGTTTTTATGTGTCCGGCACTAATAAGACTTAATAATTATCTCACCTTGTAGTAGGGCTCTGGATCCACCAGTGAATGACATGCATCAAATGGAGTTCCCTTGTTCACCAAAACTGTACAGTGTGTCTGTGCAAACAGTTCTAACAACAGAAACAAATTATTTAAAGTTAGCTTGGAATGCAAGATGCATTAATATGGCCACAAACACTTACCGCATGTTACATTTATCCAATAATGTGCAGTATTCAGTGAAATTCTCCTACTTCTTATATTGTAAATCGCTGCGCAAACTGCTGGCTCTATATAATTCCTGTATAATAATAATAATACTTTTGATATCATTGGGGCTGATCTAAAAAGAAGGCTGAACAAAACAAAACTTGCTAGTTGTCTACTGCAACCTATACAGTGTACACTTTCATTCTGTAATTAAACAGACAATACTTCCTCTTTCCTTTTACTTTGTTTTCTGGCTGAAGCCATCTCAGCCTTCATATGCTTTTATAAAGTATGTTTCCATGTTAAAACAGTATTGCTTATGGCTACCTGTGATTCATTATTTTGTTCATGTATTCTCAAACTTTTCACTTAACACTATTAATGTGAAATAAAGAGGTCAGTTGTACTGCTGCAGTGAACTGCGATTGCACTTACCATTGGATATACTCATAGAGCATGGGTTAACATCCATATTTTGGGCAGCTTTGCAGTTGGCAGCTGCTCTCCAAGAGTCTACAAATACTGTCACTGTCCCTTCTATAATTCCAGAGCTGGACATGAAGTCATCCTGGGTTTCACTGTTAAAGTTGCCGCACAAACCTAATAATAATGTGATAAAGCAGTGGAGTTAATAATTGTGTCTTAGAGAACAAATGCATAGTTAAATATCGGTATCTTTAATTATGGTATGTCCTAGACACCAAAAGCTTGATGCTGGTAGTTTTCAGCACTAACTAGGTGAAAGTGAAGTTACGAAGCTAGCCGAAGGATCGGCCGAAGCTACGGCCAGATCCTTCGGCAGCTTTGTGAATAGACCCCCAAGTGTCACTAGGCCCCCACTAAGTGTCACTAGGCCCCAACTCCCTAGCCTCCCCTTTAAAAATGAGCCCTTACCTTTAATATTCTGTCCATCACTTAACCCAATAACCGGAACATGTTATTGGGTTACAAACTTTAACATTTAACATGTTACAAGCTTTAACATTTGCCACTTACTATTTAACCCACACCCCAGCACTTAATAACCAATTCCAATTACCAAATTCTCACCTCAGTCCTAAACAATTAACACTTTAACACCCAAGTTGAAGTAGAATGTTGCTTTACTTGTCAGTGCTGCCTTTTCTTACATTGTAAGCTTTGTAGTAATAATGGTTCTGCCAGGATGGAGAGGGTTTACTGTGATATGAGATGGCACCCAAGGCAATCTTATTTCTCCCTTGTTTGTCATTACCTTTGGTGTTTCCAAAGAAACTTCTGTTCACTTTAATGTAGGCACTGAAAACAGGAATTCTCTGCACCACGATCTCTAGACCAAATGTTGTGTACAGGATTATGGTTGTGGAAGACTGTCTTATCACGAATACATCATCTATGAGAATAGAAAGTATATTTTTATGCAATTATAAAAGTAATTGCCAGGATTTATTTTTAATTTTGTATGTATTATTCTTCAGGGCCTTTACCGCTGACTTCTCCTAAAAAGGAAAGATCTTCCCAATACACTCCATTGCAAAGGCAGGGTTTGGCTTACATGGTCACGATAGTAGCACTCACCTGAAATAAAAGGCAGCTGCCTAGTCTGACCATCCACCATGATTTCATCCTTTTTGGACAATATTATGGCACCCTGTAATGAAGCAATGTGAGATTAAAAAGATTTAATCATTATCACTTCTTTTGTTTTCCACACAGGTATTAAAAAAAATAATGACCAAGTATCTACTCTCTATGTGAAACTGCTCGACTCTCTTTATATAAAGCCTCATATTATTATGACCACCCCATCAGTAGTTCGTTGGGCCACTAGATGACTCCATGAGATGGCTTCGTTGGGCCGCCTCGTGACTCCACGAGATGTTGAAAGGTGATGCGAGGAATCTGACACTGCACTGTTGCACTTCTGTTGTCTTGTACCAGTCTTGCCACTCTGCGTTCTGCCCTAACATTGACTAGTCGCTGATGGCCAAAATTTGCACGTTCAGACCCAGATTTTCGGCTGACAGTCCAGTCTTTAACCACTTTAACAACAGCTGCTCTTCTTCTGCTGAATTCTGCTGTTTTGCTGATACTCGCTCCATGGCTCAGAGCGCCAACAATCATCCCACGTTCAAAGGCTGTTAAATCGCGTTGTTTACCCATATCTTCAAAAAAAAATCACTTCTACTGTCGTGGTAAACAACCTGCTTCCCTATTTATAATGGTCTGGCCCTCTAGCAACTTCAGCGCGAAATTATAGCTAAATATAGCTAATTTGCCTACAAACATCAGGTGGTCATAATAATCTGGCCACTCAGTGTATAAAGGCATTAGAAAATATTAATGACCGTGTTGCCTAAGATATTCACTCTTAGTAAGTTAGAGAAATGAAGGTGAAAGGCTTATTGCTATACAATACTGCTTCAATGCACTTTCCTACAAGAGGCCTAATACATTATGTATCAAATAGACCCTCTAGCATGAGCCACTCCATAAGGTACAAAATATTCCCTCCTGAGCTTCTGCCAATGAACTTGTGCAAGAATCTATTTAACTGTCAAATGACTAAACCTTTCTAAGTGAACTTAGAAACATCTGTTTAACTGCCAAGTAATTATACTACTTTTAATGAACTCTTTTTTATAGAAAATGTTTCATTGTTAAGTGATATAATTTTTCTGAAAGAAAAAAGATAAAAATAAGACCAGGAACAAAGTATTCTGTACCTTACGGAGGATTCATGGATTCATGGGGTGAGCCTTATGTGGAAAAGTGTTTAGCTTAAATGGTAGCTGTTTTTCATTTACAGAGTTCTGTCAAGTAGACCTTATGAATCAGTGTTAAAGTCCTGGTATTGTGCTCTGCTTGCGATAATCCCACTTGTGCTGCTGGTGATCAGAATCCATATTCCAAGATCCAAAGCCTGCTCTTGGATTACTTAGAGACTCTTTGCTATATACAATGCCTATGGCAATTAAACAGTCCAAGGCCTTAACGGAATAATCTTGTGCAAAAAAAGCAGTCAAGTACTATAACCCATAGCGACATCAATTCAGATGTCATTAGTCCTGTGTTTGTGGATGGTTGCTTAGTTACCTATGACGAGGCTAATAGCCGTACACCCTGTAACATCTTCTCATCTCACTATTTTACAAGCAGCACAGCCCACATGAGAGTGGCAGCACTACTCTGAATTTAGGAGCAGTGCAGCATTGTTGCCACCCCATCACAGAAAGAGCTGCATTAGGTGGATCTCACTGGCTGGATCAACAGGTATTTGTAAGACTTTACAGGAAGAGAAAAATGCAAATGCACTGATAAATAGATGCTGAAGCACATATTTTTTAATGGGTGGCATTAGTTCTTCTTCAAGGAAAGCAGACCTAGAAGAAATATCCATTTCTCTACCGCCCACAGTTTTATAAATCAGATTGTTTGCTCGTACCTATTTAATGTAAAGCAGAAAATTTGTAGATGTTTTTGGCTGAAGCAACTCACATTTGATGTTGTATAGATGACACTTGTGAAACAAGTTTCTGATGAGCTCACACCACACTTTTCAAATGTTCCCATGATGGTGCCACCTTCAGGAAAACTCGGGCCCTGTACCATGAAAATACACATTCATTCATGTTATTAAATATACTACTATATATGCCTAAAGTAAGTTGCCCAATGCTATAAGGCAATACAATTATCACACAAATCATGGCTAAAGGATAGATTTGCCCTACAAGATAAATACAATAAACAGCAAAAAATAATGTAACCATAAAACTAACCCATGCTTTTCCAAAAGCAATGTCACAAAGAATTAGGTTTATGTTTCTATTTTTTGCTTCTATTTAAGTGCTGGTATGTTATTTGTATTATTTGCTGAAGTATATCTCCTTAAAAGGACCCAGGCAATAAAGCTCAAGAAAATATTGGCCTCCAAGTTCTATGACATAATCTCAATGATATAGGTCACTTCTCATTGGACAAAACCTAAAGTAAAAAGCCTGTTCAATTAAGTCTTAGCACAAGGGCAATTGTTATACGATATATAGAAGGAAAAAAGACTGATAGTCTTACCATGACCAGGACGTATGTACAAATTCCATGAAACCGGTATGAGTTAGTGTCAAAAGTTGTGATCACTGAGCCGCCTTCTATAGCACATCTTCCAGGACAAGGAGTATTCGTGCAGCTCCACTGTCCTGCATTACATTGGCTAGAGAATATAAAAGCATTGAGTATTTTTCTTCCTTTCTTCATATAGTATTTTACTCACATTATCTGATCATTATCTGATTTTTTTTCATTTACAGAAGTCTAACTGAACTTTCAGTTTAAATTAGCTGTATACCTTCTAGGTGTATCCAAACAAAATGAAAACTATTGTAGCTGGTTTACTTGAAAAAAAAAAAGCCACAGCCGGAGTGGAAAAGCCTGCATAATGCCAGCATGTTGCAGAGTGGGACTCTTGCTCCCTGTAGGGAAGCAGCGATATGAAATGCCATTTGCTGAGTCAGAGCCAGAAATCTCTAATCAGCAGTGAACATGAGTTTTGCTAACTGCAGGCATATAGGTCTGACTGACTGAGGCATGTTGGACCTCTGCAGGGAGATCACTGGTTTTCCTCAGACTGTAGCTGCTTTAGAAAGAAAAGGAACATTGAACACCTTTGGGGTTATTCACAAAAGAGTGAAGAGTATAGAGAAGGCAGAAGAAGTGAACAATCTAGAACAACATAGCTTAACTGGAAAGTGACCTGAATTGGAGAATGTTTAGAAATCAGCTATTTTGTCCTAGATTGCTCACTTCTCCCGCCTTCTTCAAACTTTTCAACCTTTTGTGAATATCCCTGCTTGTGTTTTGATGCATTTGAAATGTATTTAGCTGATTTGAACAGAAGGCTTAATTGGACTTTAAAGCATTCAAACCAGTGAGGATTACAACAACATTTTGCCATACAAATGAGAAAAACACATGTATTCCAACATACAGTACATATGTAAATATGGGTTACAGCTTAGGTTATAGATAAGAGCACTGTCTCTGACAAAGCTCCTATACTATAAAAAGGTTTGCCACAAATCTGGCAAGAAGTGTGCCTTTGTCAGGTTTTATTGAAGTCTGTCTGTTGGGGAGATGTCTCCTCATTTCCTGTCCCACTGACCATACAGGAGGGACAAACGAGATCTCTCCAACAAGGACACAATGCAGTAAAAAAATGATGGAGTTTGTAATCCTTTTTAAATATACTAACCATACTTTTATACTTTTCTTTCTCCCTGTTGGAGAGCCAACCATCACTTCCTTTTCAATGATCATGCAGGAAGTGCCACTAACATCCCAGATAGCAGCAAAAAGCTGTAGCACTTTCTACATCAATAAACCAGGAACAAGTATACAGATCTAAAATTATAACTTTCTTCTAGCTTCACTTGCTGCATTCTGTGCAAGTGTCTCAGAAATTACTGATGCCAGAGACAGCCAGGCAACTATTATTTTCTGAAGGAGGTCAACACTTGCAGCTTCCATTTTTTATCTCATTAATTAAAAGTCACTAGTGGCACCTGTATGCACCCCATGAACCTAACAAATAATTTCCATTCTTTAAAAAGATATGAAGACATATTTCTGTGCTGATCTGTGTAACAATAATATCCTTACATTGCTCAATAGATAATCATGTGTAATTGACTTGATTGAGAACACAGGTAGACATATTAAGCCTTGAAACCTAATAATACACACGCATTTATTGGAAATTGCATGGTAGTTGCCCATAACTCACACGCTCCATGTAAAGGGGAGATTAGTATACTTTCCACTACTTGTCACAGTCTGATGTGACACAGATAAGCATGCTTTTGTGTACTGATTGTGAAATTTACGGATAAGCTGCCACAGTGACTGCGAATAGACAAAGCAGCAATTTACGCAGCAATTAGCATTATTTGGCTAGCTCTATTTGCCATCTCTTGGTGTGGTCCTTTTATTGTAGTTTGCTTATTTGCAGGGCAGCCCTTACTTCCCAGTCTGGTGACTCACCTTCATAAATAAACTGCTAGAATGTGTCTTGTTTAAAGGACCACGGCAGCCATATATAGAACTGTAAATGTTATATATTCCTATACTCTAATCTTCATATTCCTGCTAAAGCTAAATCAATTTAATAGCCATTTAAAGAGTATCTAAAGCCATTTTTTTCACTGTGATCTGTCATCTTGAGAAAAGGGGTCCTGTGAGGCTCTATTGGGGGAGGAACTTTTTTGGGCACATTTTCTTTTTCATCTGTCTTGTTACGCCCTCAATCAACAACTGAGACTCATTAAGGGGTGCCGGCTTTCTCCTTTTTTTTTTATCAGCAATGATATGTTATTACTGGCAGCCATGTCCTCCCTATCAGCGGCGTTCAGGGTCAGGTGCTGGATTGGATATGTCCCCAGGTTATCATTGCTGTCTATGTCTCCATTGGAGATTTACTTTCTCTGCGTACCCTGATAACTGCTGTCACTGAGACAATGCTAAGGGAGAATCCAACATTTCAAGATGTCATCAGAGCAGGATAAGAGGGGACCTTTTCTTATTCCAGTCTAAGAAGGGATTTACTTCAGGTTGGAGAGATTTCCTTTTACTTCCTGTCTGTGTACAGTACAGGACATTAAAGGAAATCTCCCCAGTGGGACATATATGGCAAAAAAAAAAATGAAAATATGCTATCTAAAATGGAAAAAAATATATTGGCTTTAGATACACCTTAAACTGCAGTTCTGTTCAGGCAGTCTTGCAATTTATAAGAATTCTGATACACTCTACATGCAGGCGGCTCAGCTATGCAGCTTCCGGTGCCACCTCTCTGGCTCCAGTCTGTTATCGGACCATATGTCAGAATCCTCACTGTTTATGTAAGAAAGTATGTAACCAGTGAAGCTGTAATGCTGAACCAGAAATTACTTCAATCATCATCCTGACTGTGTAGCGTTGTACAAGTGTGTAAATTACAAGGCTGAACAGAATTACACACATATGTATTTCAACCTGCCTGGAGTTTTGCATCAAAGGAAAAAATATGTATGTTCTGAAACTATTTATCTGAATTGTGCATGATATGCCCTGAATAAGGGTGTAACTTGAAACATAGTCATAAAGTGGAGTTATTCTTTAAAAACAGAGAAGGGCATTGATCAAAACTGGAGCAGAAAACATCTGGATCAGCTGTACATGGCAACCAATCAAATTCTCTGTTTCATTTTCAAATCTTAACTGACCAAAATGAAGAGAGAAGCTGTTTGGTTGCCATGCACAGCTGCTCCGGTTTTGATTAATCCCCCCCAGAGTGCACCCATGGTACTAAGGTAACAGAGCATTGAGAATTCATCATCACCAGATTTTGTTAGTTCTACTAAACACATGCTTGCAATCTGTACAAGATGAACTGACATTGGCAAACTCTGACACAGCAATTTAAGATGTCAAAGCAGAGTTATCAACGCTGTCAATCTGTCAGGAAATCAAGAGTTCCTGAAGTGTTGGAGCCTTGGATATCTTGGCTGCTAGCTGTTGCTAAATCCCCAGCTCCTACATCATCAATCTCCTAATCCAGCTAGTAGAAATATCTCACAAAATCAGAAGTGAAATCCACTGGATAGTTACATTTTTTTTTCTTATGTGTTTACATTTCAATTAGAGCTATTGCTACCGAGCTCAGTAACCAGATTTTTTTTCAATAGAGCAGCTTAGTATAGACAGGTAAACATGTGTAAAAGAGCTTAGAGCCCCAACTGCTGGATGGAAATTATAATGCAACATATTAAAGAGAACTGCAGGCAACATTTTTCTTAATCCTTGCAGTGAAGCTACCCTGGCTCTGCAAGTGTTAAGGGCTCGTTTTCTAGATGCAAAAATAACAAACTTATACTCATCCGAACCTTAGAGCGCTCCCTTCAGCCTATCTCCTATTCCAGTGATGGAATATCCCTCGGTGACCTCACGTTCTATACACAGTGTATTGGACCTAATTATTCACAGGACCTTAGACCGCTGCAGTGGAGGAGGAGAGCGGCTCCAGGGACCGGCCTAACAGCAAGCCGGCTGCGAGTTTCAAGTAAGTATAACTTTGTTATTTTCACACCTAGAGGAAAACAAGTACTTAAACCTTGCATTGCAGCCAGGGTTAAGCAACATTTTGCCCAGAGTTCCTATTTAATTATACATACTGTACATATATATATATATATATACACACACACACACACACTCTTCAAGTAAAAAAACACACTATATGTTCAAATAATAAATAATAGATAAGCGCCTAACTAACAGTATGGATATTACAGTTTGATCTTTGTGCCAAGTGAAACAATGTGTGACGCAGATTACAAAGCATCAGTCAAGTCAGTGGACCAACACCTGCTGCAATTGTGTAACTGTCTCTGAGTGAAAGATGTCGACTCAGAATACAACAATGTTACACAATGGATGGAGAAACTTTCCTCATTGTTTAGTTTGCTTGCTCACCAAACACTGCAATCGGTACGAATGTGATCTCCGGGACTGTAGATTTGCCCATTGAAAAAACAAGGGCAGTCGCTGACAGGGACACACGTGTTGTCTCTAGACAGATCATCGAGGACAGTTCCTGGAAAAAAATAGGATGTTCAGATGAAATGTATCTAGAAATATCTGGTAGAAGTATCTGGTAGAAAGAATAGCATATGTGGTATCAATAGCAAACAGATTATAGCCAGCATTTTTTAATTGTAAAACTATAGAAAGGGTTTGACTGGACACTACCATCACAGACATTTGTCTTTCTTCCATTTTTCAACTGGAGCAATGACTGCCGAAAATGCAATGGCAGCATGGACTACTGTGTTTGCTCATGAGTATATCCAGATACAGAGTATATGTTACAACTGTAGAGATAGTGGACAAGAAGTGCTGTATGTTAACTTCACCAATATTACACTATTTTTATAAAATGTCATGCTCTGTCACTCCTGGAACAATTAAAGCTTTGGTCTTCTTAATGAAGTTATATGAACCTTCACATGTTAGTTGAGGTGTAATTTATTTTGAATGGCATCCCAACTAACTAAAGGATCCATTTATCAATGTTTTCACCCAAGATTCATACAACTCTAAACCACAATTCACCCATTTCACATAAGATTTAACCGTAAAATGGGTAAATCTTGGATGAAAGTCATGTGAATCTTGGGTGAAAACATTGATAAACGGACCCCTTCGTTTGTTGGTGTGGCATTCAAAAATCAAACAAAGCAACATACCTGAGTTACAGTTCTTGCAGTGCAGTAACGCAATATCATGTTTTGTTGCATTTCAAAAAAATGTTCAGGTGTGGTTTATGCTCAAATAAAAGCTTTAGGCAACGCATGTTAATCCATGTTTTGTTAGTGTGAACCCAGCTGACCGAGAGCAGGTACTCAGATAAGGACTACTGACTTTCTTGTTCTGCATACTTTTTCCAGATCAGCAAATTAAAAAGTATTAAGCTAGTGGACCAGCATAACAACATTTACAAAACAAGAGGTTCCATGACAGGTTTACTTAATTATCTAAATACATTAGATATTTATTTAAGCTTGTTTCCATTCATTTATATGTCAACCCTATACTGATAATTGTGTTTTTAGGTGATCCTCTCATGTATGTGTGCTGCAGATACCATGAGTTGAGTTTTTGAGGGAATAGGTGTTTCCAAGGATAAGCCAGCATTAGCTCCATCATCCTCCCACCTCTCTGTAAACATAAATACATTAAACTCTCTGTTATCCGGTATTTAATTAACCAGAACTATCATCTAACCAGAAAAAATCCCCTGTGTACTTACTGTTCTGCTGACCTACGGCATGTATTATGCTGGAAAGGAACGTGTGCCTATTTGTCTTATTTTGTTTGAAGAGTGTCTATTTGTCCTAATTTGCTTTTGATTACTGCATTTCAATATTATTATGAAGCCAATACAGAGTTTATGTTATGGTAAGGTATAGTAGGGGGTATGGCATTAGTTAGACCTATTTTTAATAGTAACTCCCAAGCAAACGAAACTACATTTATCCGGAATCTACCATACCCCGTGGATGCCAGATAACAGTGAGTTTTGCACTGTGCTGAGTGTTCATGTTTACACAGGAAGTTCATCAGACTAATGCCTAATCTATTGTTGGATTATGCCTATAGCTGACTCTGAAGTCTATTGGCAGCCCAAGTGTCCGGGCTGGCAGATCTCCCCTCAGTAATCATGCCTCTGCCCTTTATATTGGCTTTAGCTTAGCCCAGTCTAGGTTAAGTCTGAACAGTGACATTGCACAGCAGCAATGTCTCAGGTAATAAATGTAAGATTTGGCCAAGGCAGCATAACATCAATGCTTGTGATAAAGCCAAAAATAATATATTGTGGTTGTGCTTAAACTGGAATTTCTGGGGCTAATCTCTCCACTGGGATCTGTAAAAGGTACAAAAGCTATACTACTAGAACTCTGGTGTTCTCCCATGGCTATTGTTTTAAATAGATTTTTGCTTTCAGAGAGAGAGGCTCCCAAACTCTAAAAAGGATCACTGATATCAGGGCAGAACCTGTGGACCATATAGAGTTGTAGATATGACCCAAACTTTTCTGTCTCATTACCCCCATACAGTACTTAAGACAATATCTTGATGGATTACATGCCCAGCATAACCCTCAGGAACTCTAAGGATCTAATATCCTACATCTCCCCCCTACATGAGCAGATTAAGTTGTTTGCATATAGTCCAGTGAACTTTGGTAGAGCAGGACCTTTTAGGTTTAAATTCATACTGTCTAAGTTACCTGGTGGGCAGAAGCAGCCATAAACACAGTGTGAATTACATGTGTATTGAGGGTTCGAACAAGTGGGGCTGCAGGGACTTGCACATTCTTCATAAATCTGATTGGATGGACATGTGCCCAAGGCTATAAAAGAAGAAAAAACAAAGAAGATAATAGGTAACATACACATCAGTAAAGCATAGCTTTAGTATATATAGTATTATAGTATATGTCAGTGTTTTCTAAGCCAGTATTCAGGGACCATTTAAAGTGTATCTAACCTCAAGAACAAAAATTTAATATATTGCAGCTTACCAGTCCTTAGATGTGGTGACTGCATTCCTTTGCTTTTTTTAAGGCTGTTCTCCTGTGATTTATCATAGGCTTTGCAACAAATGGATGTAAAGGTGACCTGCAAGATAATATGTAGTAGGGACCAATAGTCTGATGTAAAGAGCGCAGAGAATTGCTCCCGTGTAATATAGGGCCCATGGGACCCATGAGCAAGTCATGTTCATTCCATTTCTTGCAGAGATGAGAATTATTTAAAATCTCTGTTTAAAGTTTGAGTATATCCACCGCAGAAAAGGAGTGGAATTCACTCTCCATTTGTCCTGGTGACCATTCACCAGGACTAAAAGGGAGGAAAAATGAAACATTTTGAGTTGTAACTGAAACAGGAATGCAATGGAAGCTGTCTAATGAGAGGGCACTTTTTCTGGTTAAGGGAATATTCTCCTTACTTTGGAACTTGTTGAAGCAGATAATAATACAAAAGGGTCCCTTGAGTATAATTCATCCTCTATCGTTGTGCTGAACTTTGTCTGTAAGGTTTTGTATGTTGTGATGGATCTAGAACTATTCCCCAGTTTGTTGGGAGCCTACTGAGACTTTTTTAAACCTTGAAGTCTGTGTAGAACTGCCATACCTCAGTCAGGGGTAGGTAATCTCGGCGCTCCAGCTGTGGAGAAAATACAAATTCCATCTTGCCTTCTGGAAGTAATGCCTGTGCCTGTCAAAGTCTTGCAATGGCTCATGGGACTTGTAGTTCCACAACAGTTTATGTGCTGTGGTTGCATACCCATGTCTTATATCCTCCCTATACCTAGTGAAACTACTCTCAATCCTCTATCAGTACAGGTATTACAGCATTCTTAGGAACTGACAATCAAAATGACAGATTGTGAAATCCAACCATATAATACCCCTGTAATAAAAAGGCAGGCCAGCTCATTATCCAGAATAATTAAAGTAATCATTCCATAGTGTAGTGCTATAAAAAGTCAAATATTGAATTACCTTTATGTATTTTAATGACAATAGTTTATCTCTGCAGTAAGGAAATTAGTGTTGCATTGTATTGTGTTTCACTGTAATTATAATCATACAAAAATGTATGGTTTTTAATTCACTATTTGGCTATCACATTTTAGTCATCGCCCTGCCTACATGATACTGGGTCATTAAAGAATTTTGGGAAATTTCCTTTTTGCTGTTCACCATAGCACCAGAAGTCTGATATATTGTTTCTCATGGCATTTCATAGCTTAATTGTTTGAAAGAGCGTGCTCTTGCCTATCGTTTTTTCTCAAAATAACTAAGAACTTCAGCTAAGGAGCATGAGCAGGAATCCTAAAGAACCTTAATGTTGTATCATGTTTTTGTTTTTTTAAACTTGTACTTTGATAAATACACTACATAGCCTGAAGTACATGGGCATCCCTCCAAATAATTGAGTTCAGTGGTTTCAATTGTAGAGTACTGTTCTTGCTATGGCTAAGACACAATTGTGGGCTTCTGACTGGCAACAATCTGGATAAGACTATTTCGATCTCACAACATAAATGTGTAAAATGCCAGGTCCATACAGATATAGTTAATGAGTTTGGTGTTGAAGAAGTTGAATGGCCTGCACAGAACCCTGCCCTCCCCTCACTGAACACATTGGGGATGAATTGGAACAACAAATGTGAGCCAGGTCTTCTTGTTCAACATCAGTAACTAAACTCCAAAATACTTTTTGGCTGAAAGGATCCAATTCCCACAGACACACAGTTACGATCTCATGAAAAGCCTTACTAAGAGATTGAAGATTGTAAGCTGCAAAAGGACGGTGGGAAAATCCATATAAATTGCCATGATTTTGCCCCCAGCAAATGTCATCTCATTTACATAGGGTGTTTCCTGTTTTCCTGGTTCTTGGCTCTTATCTGGTTCCTGGTTCCCATCTCATACTGTGTATACATATACAGTATGGGATGATTATTTCTACTGATAAAGAGATGGAAAAGGTTTGTGGTATGATATGATTATTTCTACTGATAAAGGGATGGAAAAAATTTGTGTCCAATAATTATGCAGGGTAAATGCAGCCTGTACTACCTATAAGTGCATGCTTACTGTGCCTAATGGTAAACCCAGTCCCAAAACCATTAAATCAGCTTGACAGGTAGGCAATTAACATTTTCAGAAGGAGAGTTGAGAGGGATACTTTCTCAGGAAAGGATTCCTTTGATATGTTGTCTGTTGACCACCAAATCCATTTTCCTATTTTAGAGTATGCCTATTGCTGACTATTAAAGCTCTTTCATCCCCTTTAAGTTGTTTCAGCAGTTTGTTTTTAGCCCTTTTTAATACAAGCATCAAATACAGAAATCTGTAATACAAGAGAATTGCACAAAAAATTACAGTGTGCTAAGATGCGTGCAATGCTTGTGAAAGAAAAGCAAATACCCTTTTTTGTTGAAGTTTTCCTGGGATAGCAGGGCCAATAAAATGAATGAAGACTATAGGATTATTATTAGAAGGGATGCAGGTCCACTTCAGTAACAATCCTTACAGGGGTTAACAAGGAAGTATATGCCTTGCGGACGCTGTATTTGGCGCTGTGATTTGACCGGCCGGTCTTTGCTGTTTTAACTGTAAGTTCTCTATGTTTTTTTAAAATAAATGTGTATACTTGCCACACCATGAGGAATTTTCTTTTATGATCCCACCAATGCTCGAGTGACTGGATACTGCCGGATAGAATATCTTGAATGTGGACGTATTTGATCCATCTACACTGCTTATTTTCCACAACAGTGGGGTGAGTGCGCACCCCAGAGGGGGATTCGTGGACACTTGCACAGCGGTGTTGGAATACTTCTGTTTGGGCTTCGATTTTACTTTGGACTTTATGCACTATTATCACATTTGAATTTTCGTTTGATAGACTATCACCGATTATTGATCATGATCTGATTATGTTTTCATTTTAGCTGATACACAGCTACACAGTGAATTTTTCATTTATGATGCACTTATCTGTTTTACCCTAAATAGTTAAGGGTATTGTTACATGGTGACACTGAGATCACTTAGCATTGATTGCAGTTTGTCCACATATTTTTTGCTTATTTGTTTGAAGTCTTTTTTACACATTTTTTATATTCCTGAAAAAGGATCACACTCACTACAGGAGAGATTCAGCACAATCAATATATGTGTTGTATATGAAGCACCTATAGCGCTGCACACTCATTTTTTATAGGATTATTATTGACCAGTGTTGCAGTCCATGTCCTGACTGACCTAAATGGTCAGTTACACAGAGGAAAGCACTCATGCATAGTGAGGAGCCTATAAGATATTTGTACACCTATCACGGTATAATACTTGGCAAGAACAAATTCCAAATTGTCCCTTTTTCATTCTTGTATGTTCAACACAATGGTAAGCAATGAAGCAATGACCAGTCACAGTTAATCTTCTGCATGATTGTGCTTCAGATGACACAGTGGGCTGAACTGAGAGTACTAAATCTTCAACGGGGCCGTATTATGTCTACTGTCAGCCCCCTACTTTATTCCAGAAAAATATTATGGCACTCTGGAACTTAACACTATAGTTAAAATTACAACTTTCAATTTTAATCTCAGATTAAAGGGCCACAAAACATTTCGTGAAATTTTTAGCTGCAAAAGTATGTAAGGATGTGCAACTTATCAACTGGAGAACAGCTAGGGGCGCATTCATTTTTACCCCCTAGTTAAACTACTGAGGGCTGTATAAAAGGAGTTAGAGGGCCACAGAAAACCAAGTATGACATGCCTGAACTAATGAAACTTCTGGATGGGACTTCCTGATATAACACAGAGAAGAAATTATTACATGGAGGATTTAAAGGGTTACGTCTAAAGGGTGAAAAGTCCCTTTATTATGTACAATGGAGAAAAATTAAATGGACTAAAACTTGTCACATCTGTTTTTTTTGTCTGTTCTTAAAATGTACTCACAGCACAGGTTCTTGGTCCTCCAGTTGCTGACTGGCTGTGAGCACAAGGCACATCTTGTAGAGTACTCCGAAAGGGTTGCACATGCACAGTTTCTGTCCCCTGGGATGTCACATTCCTGCAGGTCCTGCTGGCACCTTTTAATAAATGGAATCTTCGATACCATACAAATAGTAGAGACTTGATCCAGAAGATTATAACAATCGGTTAGCTAGAGGAAACACAAGTAAAATTCAGTCAGTTCATAGTTTTCTAATACAGTACTGTGAATGTGAAGGTTAATTAAAAAGTCAACTTACATATTGATGATTGTTTAACATGTTTATCTGAGGAGCCTGAGGAGGGCAAATTTCATTTGGGTCATCAATCTGCTGCAAACTGGCATACTGATAAGGTGTCAACATTTTTCCTGTAAAACAAATTAAGGAGGGTTATTTACTATCATTAGGAATACGGACACTTTCCTGGGCTGTAAGGAAGGTTACACTACTGTTTGATAATTTATCACATATTAAATGGAAGGGTTTAAACATAGTATATGCTAAAGTTTATATATGGACATTTGAAGGAAGTGTTCGATATTTTGTATTAATTTAGGGTAAATGTTTTTTCTTTCTGAAGTGTTTTTCATTGTTCTAAAGCATAATGTGGAGAAAGAATATATCTTAACCTTTCTATGGACTTCACTTTTAGTCTGATTTGAACAGTAGTGGATTATATAGGATGTTTTGGATGCTCTAATATAATAAAATTGTATGCACCTAGATATAATGATGTACCTTTGAAGTGTTTTCTCGAACCCCTTTCCCCCTAATCACACACACACACACACACACACACACACACACACTTCTTGGTTGACTTCAAGAGCTTTCCATCTTTAAAACAACCAGCAAACCAAGGGAGGACTGTACTGGGGGCCTTTGCCCCCTGGACCAGTGTTAATAAGATATGTTTGACTGGTGGGCCAGAGTAGAGATACATAACCCTGACATCAGTGCTGAACCTGCAGTCAGTGGCACATGAATGGCATTATATATCTAGCTGCTCCCTATTCAAACCTGTGGTCACAGTGTCTGGCAGAGGGAAGTTTTGTAGCACAGGCTTCCTTTGCGTCTCTGAGATGTCATGTGACCAAGTGCCACAAAGTAAGCTGTTGATGCAAAATATGAATCTGTACCTATCATGAAAGTGCTACTTGGTTGTATTTGTTCCCCAGGCAAAAGATTCTTACTCCTTTCCTGCAGCAGCAATACATGGTGTCTGCTATGGTCATCACTCCCAATATGAAACATTGTTTGGGGTGTATGTTATTTCATAATATGCTTAAAAGGTTGCATACCATAAATGGTTTGGGAAGCTTACCATTCACCAGAAAGTCATCCTTGTGGACACCATTGAAGTTCCCACAAAGTCCGCATGTTCTATTCATGTAGTTTCTGTCCACTTCCACCTATTTAGAAAGAAACAAAATTTAGATTAGGACCTTTTGGAATATTAATAGTAGTAGTGTTTCTATATACAGTAGAACATTTATATGCCCATAGGAATTGCTTCACCATGCATCCTTTGTTATCTGCCATTAATAGCTTACGCTAGAGTGAATAAAGTAAACTGGATTTTTTTTTCACATTTTGATAATTGAAGTGAATATTCACACAATTTAATGCGTGAAAATTCAGAATTCCTTTAGTAAATCAGCCTAAAGACCCTTTCCCACCCATTGCATTCTGATGTGTTTTTGAATGCGTTCAAGACACATATACACAAAAAATAGTGGTTTTCAATGGTGAAGTCCACACCAGTATGATGCATTTAAAAAAGTAGAGCAGGCTGTATTTCTTCACACCGCAATGTGTGTAAACATGTGTATCACATTTAAACGCAATGCATCTCCTTTCAAAGTAGAAGTGATGGAACCCCAAAAAGCAAATGCATGTAAACGTATGTAAATATGTTTGTTTTAGATGTTTTTTTGTGTGCGATTTAGCTGAGGTTTTGGTGTAAATAGGCCCTAATTATCTAACAAAGCAGATCGGTACAGAAATTCTGAGCCTGGCAGTGTCCCAGCCACATAAAGACATGCTACACCAGTGGTACACAACCACCCTAGGGGATATAAGGTCATATAATGAGGGTATTGCTTTGTACGATTGATTAGATTGCAAATATGAATGCGATTTGATGATTATTACAAATAATATGAATGATTACTTTCTAAAGCTTGTTTGCTCTTTAATTAGATATGTACCCGGGGCTTCTTTATATATTGCATATGTATATAAACACACATGTTGAGCTTCCTGTTTGGTGGCTGTTCTTATGACATAATAATAAAACCAATGACACAACAAGCACATTAAAAGTGAAACATCATATAAAAAAGACGTTCTGTTAAAGGAGAACTATGAAGTGAGTGCTTTTCACTCACCTCATAGTTATAGCCAACCTGTGACAATGAGACTGTCACAGGTCGGCTCAGTAGATCGGGAGGTGAGCGAACACATACCGGCGTTCGCTCACCTCTCGAATCCTGTCACGGCTCTCTGCCGTGACAGGGGAGGGTCTGGATAACCCCCTACCCGCTCCGCCAGCGCTGACTGGTGGAACGGACGGGGGAGGGGGCGGGTACAGCTGGCTCTGCCTCTAGATAGGCAGAGCCAGCTGTCAGTCACACAGCTGGGCGGATCCAGACATAATTGTCAGGATCCGCTTCAGCTGCGGCCTCTCAGTATACCGGGAGCTACAGCTCGCGGTATACTGAGCCTAGGGTGACGGGAGGACGCTAGTTTGTGTCCTCCCGTTACCCTAAGGAGTACTATGGGGAAAAGACTTAACCCCATAGTCCTCCTTTAAGCTGATGATCTTTTCTTATGAAATATTTAAAATAAGGATGGATGTTGAATAAAGCCATAATGTCCAGTGATTGCAAAGTTATCCATAGATGCCAGATAGGTAGGGGATTTTTCTGTCTATTGATGTCAGCAGACACCCCAGCCTTTTGTTTATAAAGGAACATGAAATTGTGTGTGTTAACAGTTTTTGCCTTTGAGTAATAACTGGGTTATCTAGTGAGCTATACCTAGGGCTATATAAAAGTACGAGTACTTGTCAAAATGCCCTGTTTTTTCCGCCCTTACCCTGCAGCGCCGTAAGGCGCCCGCCTTACTTGCCTTGCGCTAGCGCCGGGCCTGGTGGAATGGTGAAATCACTGATGGAGGCTGCAGTAGTGGAACAGAGGGGAGGTTGAAAACACGGACCACCTGATAAGCAAGTAAACTACCTCTTCACTAGCAGGGATCTTTTGCTTGCTTTCTTGAAACTGAAAGGGTCGCTTTATGCTAAATTATAAGAACTATAACAGACATCTCCTGTAATGTTGGTTCATGGGATGGTCAGATTTTTTGGACAAACCTGTAATATTACCTAAGGTTACCCCAACTTACCATGATATTGCTGTCACTGCTCCATGTCACAATCAGCTCAAATCCTTTTTGTTTAGCAAACAGCTTAGTTATAGCCCCAGTCTTCATAATTTCAATTCCACTGGTCATGTAAGGTAGACTTATTTTCCTAGCAAAAAAAAAAGACGCACTATAGAAATAACCAACTAAGGAAAAGATATTACGGTATGATCATATTCGAATGAAATTAGTTAGCATATATTTGGTAAGCCTGACAAATGACAGTGGCTTAGTGGTTAGCACTTCTGCCGTGCAATACTGGGGGTCCCTGATGTGTATCCCAGTCTAGATACTGACTGCAAGGAGTCTGTCTGTTCTCCCTGTGCGTCTGTGGGTTTTCTCTGGGTACTCCGATTTCCTCCTCTGCTGTAAAGTTAACTGGCTCCTGTCTAAATCAGCCCTGTATATATACATGTGAGATAAGCACCTTACATTGTAAGTTCCACGAGGGCAGGGACTGATGTGAATATACAGTATGTAATTCTGTGTAAATTGTCATTGCTATAAAAAATACTTGTTATAAATAATCTAAAGTTGACAGTTTTGTTTCTGTTTTGGATAAACTGGGGAAGGATTGCTGTCTGTGCCTCTGCTAGGGAGATTCACATATTCTATTTGTCCTGGTGATCACTGTCACCATGAGTAAAAGTAAGGGAAAAATATAAAAACTTTAGTTGTCACCACAGAACGAACATAGGTGAAATCTTCTGAGGGGCACACTTGTGTCAATGACAACTGACAAGGGAGGAATTAATTTGCCTCCTAACTTACGGAGGTTAGGAAGTGAATGAAAGTTTCACCACGGAGACACAAGCAGCTAAGAAATGTGATAAGGGTTTTCAGAACTCCATTTTCTAGCCAAAACTAAAAAGAAAAAAAAATGGCTTTAGATATACTTTAAATATATTTGGACTTACTTTCCCATGATTGTGATTGTGTTTCCATTTACAACCACGTTGATTGCTCCAACCTGTATCATAATCCTGCTAATAGAAGTTCCACTGGACCTCTGCACTTGGACATTAAACTCAGGGGAGTTAGTGCTACAGACGGTGGCAAAGACATAGTTGCAGGATCCAGTAAACTCATAGAGATCATTGTCAAATGTGAAGAAGTGATTGTTGCCCCAGGTGGAGCAAGTTCCTTTGTTGGAGCCTAGAAAAAGGCAAAGATAATAAACAAAAGGTTACTTATTTATAAATGGAAAGAAATGTGTCATAACTGATTAGTTTACATTATATAATATTAATACTACTAATAATTTAGTTAGTATTAATTAGTTAGTAAATATTTATGTGCTAAATATTTTTCAAATTCATAATTGTGGTCTACTTTTAATTTGTATCAGTTTGCAGGCTAACCACCTTAGGTTGTTAAAGGTAAGTCAAATTTGAGACACAAGTGCAACTGAGACAAATTATAAGCTAAACGATTGAGTTGGATTGTAACATGGCAAATAAAGGAATAAAACGAGTAAAACAGATAAGATGTGTTGGTGTAAAGTAGAAAAAAAAAACTTACAGGTTGAATAGTTAGCAGGGCCTACTCCAAGACCACCAATAAAATAGTCATCTGTAAAGAGGAAAGGTTAAAGTAAACTGTTGTGTAAACTTTTATATAAGCAAAGGCTTAGCTCTACTAAAATTGAAAAACATATGTGGAGTGATAGTTGTCCATCTGGTGAAAATAGAGAAATACGTAAAAAAACACACACACACTAGATAGGGAGGCCGATATACTAAAGGAGTTACAAATCTTCACTCAGTAAATTGTTTGCAAATTCCCTTCAATTATCCAATCATGTAATAAGCAAATTGCTGTTCACTTTAAATACCCAATCATGTGCTGATGAAATAAGTAAGAATAAGTCAGGAATCTGCATTTCACATGATTGGATGATTAAGGCAAATATTTAAACAATTTATTAGGTGAATACTCAAATCTTCTTTAAAAAAAATCAGCCCAATTACCCTGGGAACCTGGGAGCTTCAGTGCACTTAATAATGTGAGATATGAATGAAATCTTGAAATTATTTAAAGGGAATTTGTTGCTAGATTAAGCAATAATACAAGATGTCTGTGTAAAGGAATGAAATAATACTTACCTGTCCCATGCTGTCCATCCTTGCTTGCTTAAAACTTTTCAGCATTCAAAGCTTTTGGGTGTGTCTATTGCCTGGTCACCCACAGTGTTCTGGTCCCTTCCGCCAACTCCCAACATCACTAAGGCCTGGTTCACACCTGGGCGTTTTGTAGCCCGTTCGAACGCTCTGCAAAACGCTCAAACACAGAAATCCCATTGTTTCCTATGGGTATGGTTCACACCTGGGCGTATTTCAGCCCGTCTGAACGCGCTACAAAACGGCCTACGCCCAAAGAAGTACATGTACTTCTTTGGGGCGTTTTGGTCTCGCTTTTCCATTGGGATACAGCCAAGTAGCCCACAGAAACGCGCGTTTGCCGCATGTTTTTTTTACCGCGGATCGCGGTAAAAATGCGCGACAAACGCGCATATTCAATACGCCTAGGTGTGAACCCAGCCTTAAGGACACAATAGTGACAGAGGGGTGACAGAAGGAACCACACTATGGAGCAAATCTTCACTATAATTTAGCAAGCTTAGCTCTTCAAAAGAGTGAAGATCAGTGGCACAGACAGGGGGGCAGGAATCTATGAATTTGGGATTTCATCCATTTTTCATTTTAAATTGTTTAAGGAAAAGTGCTGCCAGAGACTACAAAATGCATTCTGTTACCTCCAGGGATGTTCTTCTGTGCCCTCTAATTTAAAGGCAAAACTTTTATTAACCATTGCAGTGGGGCTAGGGTTGCAAGGGTTAACTGCTCATTTTGGACTAGGGAGGAAAAAAAATGTATACTCACCTGATCCTTGGAGCTGGCTTGCTCTTCGACTGGTCCTTCCAGCATCACTCCCCCTCAGCTGCAGCGGTCTAAGGTCCCTGAGTCATCACATTCTATACACGATATTGTGAGGAGGCCGAGGGACATGCCATTGCTGCAGTATAGGAAGAGGCAGTTGGAAGGGAGCACTGTGACAGCCGTCCGGCTCAGAGGTTAAGGTAAATCTAACTTTGTTATTTTCCTCGCTCGGCCAAAACAAGCAGTTAAGCCTTGCAGTGCGGGGGTAGCCCCACTGCAAGGGTTATTAAAAGTTTTCCCGGAGTTCTGCTTTAATCTCACTTGTGGTGTCTGCTCTTAGGCAGGGCATTTACTTTTAAAGATTAAATTATGTAAGGCTCACTTTACAGAAAACCTGAATTGCTTCATAATAAAGATAAATGATTGCAATAGTAAAAGTAGCATTTTATATGGGAATCTGAACATATACTTACTGTCAGTTGAATCATATTCTGCTTCTGCTGGATCACTGGTATCTGTAAAAAGCATAAAAATAAGAGGATCAAAAATAAAGCTGTATATTTTAGGCCGGAGCTTTACAACTGTTATTACATTATTTTTTAGATCTAATTAATAAAAGTGTTATGTCCTTAGATCAGTAGATGTATTATCACATTAAGGGCAGCGCAAGGCTCTAAAAGTACTATTTTTTGTTTCTTTTAGAAAAAGTTAGTGAAAGCACCGGAAATAAGATGTCATGTTAATTGATTAACGTTTTTCTCTGGCCAAAATATATTTGTTTAGTTTTGAATTGAGTAGTGATTAATTAAAAGCTATTTTGCTGTCTGTGTAGATATCCCAGGAAGGAAGTGAGAGGAATGGCAGATCCCGTGACCTGTAAGGAGAGGGAGCCTTGACAGCTGGAATCATGCAGTGAGGATGTGGTCAGTAAAATGGACCCCTTCTGTATAAGGGGGTGTAATCAATTATTAATTGGGGGATAGCTTACAAAGGCGGATACAAGTAAAGTGTTATAAGTGGGAGGAAGTGGGCTTGCTGGCCTCTCGGGAGTCGACCAGCATGATGAACATCCCCGCCCACTCTCCCTTTTTTTTTCTTTTATAACTTGTCCCAGCTTTGTTGGCATGTTTTTGATCTTGCCAGCTTAATCGGTTACCACGTTAACTTTGCATCAATTCTTTGATGGTTAGACATCTGTCTAGAACTGAAGGTGAAGACTGATTTTCTGCATTGTGTTATAAAGTCATGATGTTTGGTGCTCATGGTTTATCAGTGACTGGCACGATTTAATGTAAACAGAAAAGAGTTATGTTTGATATGATTATAATACGTCATTAAAGCTGTGGCCTTGCCCTTCCAACAAAGTTATTTTGTCTAGTATTCATTGGCAGTCGGAGGGCAAAGGTAACAAAAATATTTTCAATGTAAAAGTGTTTAACTATGATTCTCAGCAGTCAAGCTATTACCAGTTATGTTATGACAGTTATCACATTATGACCAGAACATGGGGCCTCATTGGATGATTTCCCCTTACATACTGTTCTGGTGACAACAACTTTAATTTGTATTTGGATCTCCTATAACTTTCTTTCCTGATAACAATGGTTGTCAGAAGAATCAGAGATGGTAACTCTCCCCAGCAGGGTCAACCAAAAAAAGAAAAACCTTATTGAGACTCCAATCCTTCCCCACTCAATCACAAACTGAAAATAAAGTTTCGTCTAGAGATGCAATTTCAGGGTTGGGGCCATTAAATGTAATAAATGTGAATTAGGCATCTAGAAGGCTATGTTTTGTGTCATGATCAGGTAGCTGTTACATTATGGGTACACCCTACATTATGGGTGCCTGTTTAAAAAAAAAAGCACAAATAGCAGAGTTATGCACTCAAATCAATATTTTCAGAAGCCAGGTAGACCCTATTCCCCAATTTGGTCAATGTAATATGAAAGAATGGCTTGATTACTAACAGGAAGGAATATGGAGAATGGACTCCAACCTTGCAAGCCTTCACCATTCATCACTACAAATGCATAGTTTATAAACAGTGGCTGTGTAAAAGCACTCTGTACAAAAAAGACAACCAGTCAAGGCTCTCACCATTGGACAGCGGTATCAGGAATCGTTGAAATGCTGTAAAAAACAAAACAGTATTTTACAACTAGGTGTGTGCTCTGACAAAAATAAAACTGTGAGATATCAATTTCAGTGATAGTACTAAAGAGCCAAATATATCACATAATGTTATTGCAATACAAACTGAAACACCGTTGTCTTAAAAAGCAGTTTTGATGTATCACGTAATTGTATCTTGCCATATACATATACTGTATGCAGGGCTCAAAATTTCCACTTGCCTGCTCGCATTTGGCAAGTAAAAATAAAATGAGGGCGAGTGGAAATTTGGGTCTCCAAGTAGCGGTCCAATCCCGGCCCGCAAGCCGGTACTATGTGGCCCGCAGCTCCTGTCAGCTCCGGCTTCCTTCGGCCGGAGCTCTGACAGTTCTGAGCTTTAGCCGAAAGAAAGTATGTGAGGAGAATCGCACAACTTTTGTTGTGCGATGGTTGTAAGGTGATTAAAATTGGACAGGCAGATCGTACTTGCGATGATTGCAGTGCTCAGCGGGCAGTGTGCACATGCGGCATTCGTCTTCTGACCACGCCACCAACTCGCCAAAAATCGTACAATTTTCGGCAGGTTTTTCAGCGTGCTTGGAAGACGAACGTCGTACGACCTTACAGTAGAAGCGGTCGCACGCTGCCCATACACCGGCCGATTAGCAGGTGTATGGGCACCTTTAGTGTATGTGTATATTAGGCCCCATTCACACCTACAGTATATTTCAGGTGTGATTAGGGATTCCTGCATCAGGAACTTGCGTTTCCCTGCAGCAGGAATCCCTAATCTGCCGTTTACAAGCGGCAACTATCATAAGATAAGAATAAGAATTTTTAAGAGGGTATGTTTAGGGGCGGAGTTAAGGCCGGGGCAGGGTAAGGGTTAGGTGGGGCAACTGGTGGCTAGTAACTCTTAAGGCCTGGCTAGTAGTTCAGGGCTTGAAATGTTGAGCCCGGCTATATGTATACACACACATAAACACATTCTGCTATGGGTGATATTAATTTTGTAGTGCTAGTACTACTGGAGCACATTGGAAATTAATCAAAGTTTGGTGAAGAAAAACAAAAAGCCTGGAAAGCCTAATAAAGTGACCTGCCAAAGTTACATGAACGGCTATCCTCCAGGACCGGGACCTTCTTTGCTGCACTAGCAGAGAGAACTTCATGGGGCATTGCAAGCTCCACACCATGGTCCGCATTTTATGAAAGGGCTGTCAAATGCAGACCATGATGTGGACTTGCACTGCGGAGCAGAGAACTGCTTTCTATTATGAATTGGCCCTTATATATTTTTTCAAAACACCATAGGGGTTACTTTCTTAAGCAATGGTATGGCCTTATCATGCCATACTGCAGATTAAAAAAAAAAAAATGTATTGTACAGTGATGTGCTTTATAAATGTGCTTAGTGTTTTGCCAGCTTTGGCACCCTGAAGCAGGTGGAGACCTTTTTAATGTATGGACAAAACATGTGGAGAGAACGGTAATATATCCTGTCAAAATTACATTGCCAGCTTTCCTCTAATCATGGTGATCTCTCTGTGGATTAAGGGGCATAAACCCTATATTCTACCACAGGCTCCACACCATGGCCCATGTTTGTTAAATGGCCATCAAATGTGGTCTGATGGTGTGCATAGCCTTGCAGAGTATAACAGAGAGTGGATAATGACATCTGCTTTCCATTATGAATCTACTCCATAGTGTTAGCAATCAAAACAGCTTCTTCCTAATATTTGATAAGTTGCCATGGAAACAAGAATTCAAACATTTTTGCAACACTAAAATCATAGGAGAGAAATCTATTTTACTTACATAGCCTATGGTTTGGACTTGAACCTGGGGGAAAAATGATGTTTAACCATAATTAGAAAATATAAAATAATGATGAATAATATTAAAATATAGATAAAATATTTATTTTTATTTAAAACCAGCAAATGTGTTCATGAACAGGGTAATTTTTGGAGCCTATGAAGGTGGTTGATTGTGGTAATATTACTAGTTGTGACACTTGTAAGACATATTTATTATTATATTATACAGTATATATCAGTCAACATCACAGTTGGTTGGAGATTCTGAACAGTGACCCATATCAGAATTGATATAGATCATATATGATTATATAACCACTAGTGGGAGCAGACCTGTCATAAACCAAGTGCCACTAGCAAGGGAAATCTCAGGCCCTATTCACACCTGAGCGTTTTGTAGCTTGCATGCCTAAGTGTTACAATGCTAATAGGAGGAACCCCATTGTTTCAATGGACCCTATTCACATCTGAGTCATGTACGAGCGACAACAAGCTTGAGCGACGAGCTACAGGCGACATTGAGCTGTGAGATGTGAACAGCTCCATTGAAATGCATTGGACAAGCTACATAAAATCGATATCACGCGGAAATATGCTCAATTTCGCGGCGGTAATCGTGCGATAAACTGCTCAGGGCCTTATAGATGCAACTGCAAAATTGAAACAACTGGATTATCAAAAGATTGGGTTAAACCTATATGACTGACACTGTTCATAGATTCAAGCCATCCTTGTAGGTGGTGGAAAAATCCTTTAAGAACATAATTCATTACTTGGAAGGTTGCACTGTAAATCTGTTTAGTTATTACTAAAAAGCATCACTTCAACTTTACATCCTTCTGTGTTAGTGTTGGGGGACCTTTTTCCAGTCCGATTGTTTTCTACTAACAACTTAAAGTTACACTAAACTCAGGAGTTAAATTAAAAAAATGCATTCAAGTACCTTAACTATTAACTACAGTAGCTTATTTGTGTATCACTCAGGTGTAGATCCTCAAATCATCTCTGAATTGGTGCTGACATTGTTCTTCCTTCTGGAAGGTGGCTACTTTTGTTACCCATGGTCCCTGTGTGTGTTATAAAGAAGCCACCGCTCCAAGCTTGCTCCCGTGATGGACTATAATCTCAATTCCAATTAGTAAACTAAACATGAGATTCTTGATTTGAGGATCTACAGCTTAGTAATGCACTATTAAACTACATTTTTGTTAATAGTTAAGGTACTTGAATGCATTTTGGCGACTTAACTCCTGAGCTTCGTGGCTCTTTAAAGTACATGTGAACAACTAAACATCTAGCATTTCATCTACATCATCGTCAGATTCTGTAACCAAAAATAATTAGAAAAGTATTTGTACACATTTAATTACTTAGGAACAACTTGTCAACCTAACCCTGGACTTTTAAGAAATGATAGAGACTCCGCTTGTGCTGGAATTGGTTTAGGTGTAATATATTATCTGCTCTTAATAGGATTGCTGTAGATTGGCCTGGCTTTCAAACCTTCACCTCATGTATCAAATTAAAGTATTTTTTAATGACTGCTTGAAAGCACACTGCTCACACAAACAATTATC